CCCCAAAACCCCAAAACCCCATTATGCCTAATTAACTTGTGTATGTATATCTATTTACTATATATTATAATTTGGAATAATTAAACTTTAATATATATCTTTAGCATCAATGGAACCGGAAGAATGTGCAGCATTTAGAAATGCTATTGAAAACAAGAAAAATAGGCATGCTCCTCAATAAGAAGAGCTTCCAATTTCAAATAATCAAAAGAAATTTAATTATCTCTACATGACTAATACAACATTATACATGAAACAATAAAACTTGAATGAGCAGCAAGTACATATTAAAAAGAAGAATCTCAGAATATTGATGATATTTTTATGCGCCTCAGTTAATTTCGGAAAGTATTTATTTTATATATCAACTAAAATTTATAGTGCTTTTACAGGTAACTCAATGCCACCCCTCTAGAGAGAAATTCAATAATAAATGGGAATTATTGATTCAGATTTCAATCTAATAATTTGCATCAGAAATTTACCAAATTTGATAGTACCCTTTGTACTTGCCAATTTTATTGAGAAATATGGAATGAAAAAAACTCTAATAAGTTTGTCCATTATGTGTTCTCTCGGATAGCTTTTACAAACACTAGGGTTAACATACATGAATTTTTATCTCTGCGCGATTGGAAGGATCATTTTCGGTTTTAGTGACTCAGTTACAGTATTTTAGCATACAATACTATGCTTTTGGTTTGATTCTAAAAAATTGCCGATAGTTTTTGCATTATTACTATTCCTAGTAAAGGTAATCAGGGCTCTAAATGATAATTTAGCATCAGTATTCTATAATTAGACATAGTCTATATCTTCCTATTTTTGGATGGGATTTTCAATTTGTCTAGGATCTTTGATAAGTGCATATTATGTTACTACTATTCATGAGGCTGTTATAGAAAATAATCTAAAGGATAGAGCAAAAGAAAAGGAAAAGGAGGAGTAAGAGTTAATAAAATCTAAGAATACTGAGAAATAAATAGATTTAGATCAAGATGTGAGACAAGATTTAAATCAGGTTAAAAAGGGAGAGCTTCCCTATGAGTACTTCTTATTATGCATTGTATATTCGTTCGGATTTTGTTGTGTACACTCATTCTATCACAACATGAGCAATTTGTTACAATCTAGGTTTGGATTCAATAATGAAGATGCTGGACATATTTCATCTCTTCCTTATATCATAGCTGCTTTCTCAACTCCAATACTAGGTATGATATTTTCAAGATTTGGTGAAAGGCACTATGACAAAGTTATCTTATCTGCAACTTTCACCCTTCTTATTGTACACTCTACTATTTTATACATACCTGATGCCTTGCCAGGATAACCACCTCAATACTTGGTCATTGCCCCAATTGCTTTGTTTGGATTAGGTCATGCCCTATTTGTTACAATTCATGGACCACTTATTAAGTAATGAATTTTATCGAGTAATATTATTGTAGTCGAATCGTTGAGAAGTAATAGCTTGCTAAAGCATTTTCATATATGAAAATCAGTGAAAATATTGGGACAATGCTAATGACATACACAACTGGAATAATAAGAGTTAGAACAAATAGCTTTCACGCGGTTAATGCTTTATTTACGACTATGGCCGTAATTGTGAACATTGCAGCTCTAGTCTACTATAGAGCAGTTCAAATCAAATTCAATCAAGATGATCTTAAACAATAAAAGGAGGGGAAGGACATTTTTTATGATCAGATCAATTAATTTGATGATTCGATTGTAAAGAGTGACTAAGGACAACCAGAACATAGAGGATAGAAAAATGGTGATACATCAAATGATTAATCAACTACAATAGGTGAGGACGAAGATGATTTATTTATCGAGGAGAACGCTTAGATTAACTTAAAATGACGATTATTATTAAGTTTCATTAACTTAATTCTATTAATATAATTAATTTCTTGATTCATTAATAATTATAGATAAATTAAAAAGGGGTTTTGGGGTTTTGGGGTTTTGGGG